AGAATAGAATAGAATAGAAAGAATATAAAATGTAATTTTTAAAAAGCATTCTGAACTAGCTGATGAGTGTATAAATGCTAAGCCTAGTCAATTTGGACTCCCTTCCCTAATCTCTTCCTTTACCCCATCCTTGGGCCTATCTCTCCAGAAACCAAGATGAGTAAAAGACTATCTGTAGCCTCCAGGGACTCAGAGCGTAGGGAAAGTTGGGCCGGTAAGTGAGAGGCAGGTCTATAGACCAGCACCTTGAATGCTTATTATCACCCACCACCTCTGGTTGCAGAGTCACTGCCTTGTGAAGACCACATCAGAGTAGAACTGCGCTCCATAAAGTTTTCAGTGACTGGTTTTTCTTTAACAAAACATCCCTGGATGGGCTTGAATGTCTAACCCTTGGGTAAGGAATGCACTAAGTATTTACATCACCCAGGAACTCCTGAAAGCTTCCCTGTGTGTGTCATCAAGTCCTTTGGCACTCACAGTGGCCCAAATGGGCCGAGTCGAACTGCTTCGGAAGGTTTCCTAGGCTGTAATCTTTATGTGGTGAGGAGCTCTGCTCATATGGCCCCGTAGCGTGTGGCCCTACTAACCAAAAGCTAGTTCGAATCCACCAGCAGCTCCTCCTGGGAGGAAGAGGAACTGTCTGCTCCTTTTATGATTTACAGCCTCAGAAACCCAGGGTTGGAGGGTCAGAAACCTGCTGGAGTACCACTGAGTCAGAACCAACGATGAGTTGCAGTTTCTTGTGAGTTTAGTCATAGGAGCAGATTGGCAGGTCTTTCTCCTGAAGAGCGTCGAGTGGGTTCAAATGGCCCACCTTTTGGTCAGCAACTGAGTGTTTAACCATTGCGCCACCAGGTCTCCTTTAAAATTTGCAGGGACCGCAAACCAGGCAAAGGGGATAACAAACCCATCTCCAGCCCCACCTGAGACCTATGAGCTGGGATCTGTAGTTTAGCAAGAACTCCAGGAGATTTGCATCAAAGTTTGAGAAGTCGAGGTACAACAGTCACAGGATAGTGATGAATTCACTGTGAAGGTCAAGGTGAGGAAGTGCAAGTGGGACTCTAAAGGAAAGTCCTGGGAAGCTTCCTGGAAGAGGTGGCACTTGAACTGAGCCTTGCAAGATGAGCAGACTTTGAATAGGTGGAGAACTCCAGGCCAGGCGCTCAAAGCGGAAGCCCTCGGGCTCTTGGGGCTGGAAAACACAGAGGTGTGGTGGTGCCTGGGACTCCCTTTTAAAGGTTATGGGGATCTATGTAAAGGCAGTGAGCTGGGGAGTCCGCTTAGACTGATACCTCTAGTTACAGAAGACCAGGCACATTTTGAGGGAGACCGGGGCTGAGAGAGGTGAGTCATGCTACCCAGGCCTCAGCATCACCCCCCACAAGACATGAGTATATTTTGGGGAGCAAACTTCCAGGAGGGCCTAGGGGAGGCTGAGAGGAGTCTTGCTCACGCTTCCACCCCACCTTCCTCCTGCACCCCCAGATCCACTCGGACTCGGACGAGGGCGACGGTGCCATCAAGTACACCATCTCAGGCGAGGGCGCTGGTACCATCTTCCTGATTGACGAGCTGACGGGTGACATCCATGCCATGGAGCGCCTGGACCGTGAGCAGAAAACCTTCTACACCCTGCGTGCCCAGGCCCGTGACCGCGCCACCAACCGCCTGCTGGAGCCCGAGTCGGAATTCATCATCAAGGTTCAGGACATCAACGACAGTGAGCCCCGCTTCCTGCATGGGCCCTACATTGGCAGCGTGGCCGAGCTCTCACCAACAGGTGGGCCCTGCTGCAGGGTGTAAGGAGCTGGGTGATCGCTTCCCAGGGGAGGGGAGACACCCCAGGGGAAGGCAGGGCCAGGTCCCCAGTGGGAGCCTGCTGGGGAGGCAGTGGGGGCTCTTTAGGGGTGCAGAAGAGGCAGGAAACCCTGTCTGAGGCTGAGGGCACTGGAGTGAGCACAGCTACCCAGACACTATCACTGTCACACACACACACACACACACACACACACACACACACATACAAACACACACACCTGGACAGAGAGTCGCTCAGATGGACTCAGCCGCATGCATGGACGTGGCCCCCACGTGGACCCACATCTGTATCTACATGTGGACCCAGCCACACAGTCACAGTCCTCTGTCCACATACTGTCACACAGCAGACATAACTGTGCACCTGGACAGAATCATACACATGGACACAGCCATATAGGGATATTTACGGGTATGGCCCCCGACATGGACACAGACCTGCATCTACATGTGGACACAGCCACACGGTCATCACCATGAACTCTGGCATGGACACACACACATGTGCACACACACACACACACACACACACACACACACAGAGCCAGGTATCTGGATACCACTGCACATACAAGCACAGCATCATGCGTGACACGTGTGACCTCACCTGTCCACCTGGGCCCACACCACCCGCTGGCACAGCTCCACACCCAGCACAAGGGTACAGCTACCCCTCAGGCCCACAGTGACACAGCCCCCCACAGACCCAGTGGTCTTGACACAAAGCTACACCAGAGAGCCAGACTCAAGCTCCAGATAACATTCCATAGAGAGCAGTCACATGACCAGACACAACTAGACATGGCACCCCTATAAACCATAAACCACCACCAGGACACAGAGTGAAGATAAGGCCCCCTCATAGGCCCACACATAGCCTCACACCCTGCTACAACCCCTGGAAACCCCATGCAGGGAACAGCCCTTCACAGAGATGTCCACAGACAGCCGACTGCACAGACACAGGCGAACAGCACACCAGACATCAGCATTGTGGGCTAGTTCCATTTGGTGTGGGCATCGCCAAGGGCGCTAGGTGCCAACAACTTACTGGGGACCAGATGAGCCTACTACCTCCCACAGGGGGTGCCAGGTATTGTCCAACCATAAAGGTCCCACCTAGCCTGGGCTCCTAGGCTCTGGGGAAAGCTGACATGTGGAGAGAGAGGGACAGTAGCTACCATCTCCTTCCCCATCAGCGTGCTAACCGAAGGTCTCAGCACACTGGATTGGACAGGGCAGCGGTCCTGTGTCCTGGTCTCCACTCCCTAACAGCCTTTGTCCAGGGCTTCCAAGTCTGCACCTGACTGCTGAGGAGTTTGGGGGTTCTTGGTAGAGAGTACAGCAGGGCCCTAGCCCCCCACCATGTTGGCCAAATCTTGCAGACTGATGAGTAATGAGTGGGGTTGCATAGATGGGGACGGAGGAAGTGGGAGAGTGTTGGGCACAGAGGTGGAGGGGATGAAGGAGGAACAGTGCGGGTGTATGTATGTAGACATGGTGCAGACTGGTGTACACCCCACCCCCCAGTGCACATGAGCCTGGTGTCCATCCACGCGTGTGCAGATGTGCCCATGTGTTCACACCCACAGGCAGAGCTGCATTCGTGAGTGCACACATGCATGCAGATGTTTGCTGTGTGACTAGCCAAATGGCATTTTAAGGTCTGTGCATGCTATGTGTTCATTTAACAGATATTTTAGGCACTGGGGACCTAGCAGTGAACAGATGGATAAGACCCCCTGCTCTCACAGGGGTACATTTTAGTTTGAGGGGAGGCAGGCAGGAGGCAAATAAGCAAATATGTCATTGCTCCAGGAAGGCCTCACTGAAGAGGTGACTTTGATAATTGAAGGAAATTAAAATGTGGGGCTTGGAAAGACCAAACAGCCCATGCAAAGGCCCTGAGGTTGAATTAATTCCCTTAAGGAATTTGGAGGGCTGTATCTGGAGCACAGTGAGTGAGAAGGAGAGACGTGGAGAGTGACCACGGATGCAGCCATGCAGCCCTTAATTGGAGCTTTGCCTTTTAAGCTGATTGAAGCCAGTGGAGGGTTGTGTTCAGAGGAGAGACCTGAACTTAGTTTAAACAGGATCCCATGGCTGTTCTGTCAAGATGGGAATGAGTCGGGGCCAAAGGCAGAGGTAGGAAGTGTAGCGAGTGGAATATGCAAATCGCTTAGACAGGAAATGATGGTGGCTTGGAATAAGGTGCCCCAGTCGGGGTGTTGAAAAGATCGACTTGAGGGTCTATTTGGAAAGTAGGACTGAAAGCCTTTGCTAATGGACTGAATGTAGGATGCGAGAAAAAGAACATTTGAGGATGGCTGTCGGGATTTTTGACCTCAGCAATTAACTAGATGGAGTTTCCATTACTGAGATGGTGAAACAGTGCGGGGGAAGAGATTTGGGGATGGAAGGAAGTGAAGAGTTTGGTTTCCGACAGGCTGAGTTGGAAACACTGAGGACCCAGCAGAGATCCTTAAAAAAGCAGTTGAATTTACCTGTCCAAGGGAGAGGGCTGACTGGAGAGATTAACTTGGAAGTTGTCCATGGTCAGAGCCTCATGGCAACTTAGAAACCCATTTTCCAGGTGGGAAAACTGAGGCTCAAGGGCACTATGACTTGTCCAAGTTCTCATGTAGCAAGTCAAAGGCAGTTCCAGGTCCAGCACCCCTCACCCCGGAACTCTGATTCAAGAAGAGATGGCCTGTCTTCCTTCCTGAGCTGCACATCTTTGCACCCAAAAGCCAGAAGGGTAGTCAGAGATGAGGCTGGAGAAGGAAGCAAAGAACCTCAGGAGAAAGCAGAGAGCCTGGGACCAGACTTGGAATTTAGAACATTCCTTCTCTGAAGTGTAGAAGATGGGGAAGGACATGGGTGTGCCAGGTGGAGATGTGGCCTCTTATGTCCACATTAGTGGCTCATGTTTTAAACCTCACTCTCTGAGAGGTGCGCAGACAGGTGTTAGCATCCCCATTGAAAAGATAGGAACACTGAGGCCCAGAGAGATGTACCCACCATTGCTTGGGAAGTCCACGAGTGAGCATTTAAATTGCAGGGCGTCAGACTGCCCAGATTCCTGTTTCATACATGGAGAAACTGAGGCAGAAAGAAGGAGAAGGACCTGCCAAGGTCCCACGGGGAGTCCAAGGCAGAGCTGGCCCCCAGCAGGTCCTGCGGACCCACACCTTGTCTTACCCAGCTCCCACCCATCCGCCTTCCACTCCGGGAAAAGTCAGGCAGAGGGACTCAACTGGGCCAAGTGGGGAGCTCAGGAGGGGGCGGGCGGAAGCCGAAATTAAATTCGTTTATTTCATTTGAGTAAGTTTTTGAAGGAGAAGCAAATCCGACACCAGGGTGCTAGCGGAGGCTCCAGGCCGCTTTGAAAATCAGTCACAATTACGGGGCCTCCTGATCGAGCTGAGGGGGGCGGGGCGGACAAGCGGTACTGGGGGCCGGGCAGCTTCGGAGATCAGAGGAAGCAGGGACGCAGCGCAGGACATGAAAGGCGGCTGTGCTCCCAAATTAAACTACTCAGAGCTTAAAAGAGAAGGCAAGTGTGCTGGGGGCCCTGATGGGCCAAGCTCGCGAGGAGGGGCGCCCAGCCACGCAGCGGTAGTGATGCAGGAAGCAGGGCTGCAGCTGGAGGAGGCAGGAGACCCGGCTCCCCATGTGGCCGCAGGCAAGTCGCTGCCCATGCTGGACCCCAGATTCCCTTCTGAGTATTTGAGAGGCCTACGCATCCAGCAGATGTGTCTTGGGGACCTACTGTGTGCCTAGCATTGTTCCTTAAGGGTCCTATCCTAGGAGGCAGAAAGTCAGAAATAGCAAATATATAATATGCCACATAGTGTGGTCAGGTGGCTTAGCTTGTTGGGAATTGCACCACCAAGCCAACAATCATGCTTCCAATCCACCAGTGGCTCTGCGGGAGAAAGGGGGACCTTCCCCTTTCTTTGACAATTTACAGCCTCAGAAGGTCATTGAAGGGTCTGCAAGAGTCAAAATCATCGGGACAGCAGTGAGCTTGAGCGGGCTGGGAAGGAGGTAATCAAGGTACTATCGAGGGAGTGCTCTTTTCGGTAAAGTGGTCAAGGAAGAACTCTGTGTGTAAGAGAACTTTGAAGGAATATCCTAAGGGAACAAATTGAGGAGTTCCGTTAAACAGTGCTTTTCAGACCTCTTTGTGCATCCAGATTAGCTGGTGAGCTTGTTGAAGCTCTGGGTGTGGTTCTCATGCCGTTAAAGCTCAGGACGTGGGCTTTCCAGTATGTCCGGAGTGGTGCCTGAAAGAGACCATGTTTCTAATAAGTCCCTAGGGGTTGCTGATCCTGCTGGTTTGAAGACACCCCTCCCCTGCCCCACTCCTTTTGAGAAGCACTGAGCTGTATTCCAGGCTGAGGCAGCATCAGGTGCAAAGATCCTGAGGCAGTCTGTTTGTCATCTTGAAGACTAGTCCGGAGGGCCGGAAATGAAAGGGACACTATCTCACGAGGCCAGAAGAGGAACTGGGAGCTGGGTCACACAGGACATTTAAAGGCTTCCAGTTGTTCTTCGAGACAGAGAGGAAGTGGCATGATCTAGCTTGTCTTTGAAAAAGGATTCTCTGCAGGCTACCATGTTGAAAATAGACTGGTTGGGAGGAGGGGGATCAGTGAGGAAGCAACTCAAGTGTTCAGGCAAAAGAAGCAGTGATGCTTAGGACCAGAGGAGGAGATAGGAAGAGGTTTTGAGGGGAGCTCTGGTGGCCTAGTGGTAAGGAGCTGCAACTACAATCCCAGAGGCTCACGGTTCGAATCCACCAGATGCTCTGCCGGGGAAGGAGGGACAATCTCCTCCTGTACCAGTCAGATCTGATTTGACGGTACACTCACACAAAAATAATAAAATAAAAATTTAAAAAAAGGAAGAGGTTTTGGATTCCAGATGTACCTTTTTTCTTCTTATTTTTTTTTTTTG